ATTGCCCAGATGTTAACCATCACCAAAACGTAATAAATTTGATTAAAATCCGTGTCGATGATACATTAACTTCCTGTTATACATTTGATGCTCATTTTTCTTGTAAACAAGCACCATTTGAATGCCTAATACTGTGGAAGCTGATCACTTCCTTTCCCTTTTTGACCAAAAGTTCTGGCACTCAAAGAACTTGCCTTATGCCAGCATAGACATTTTTTTAACATACTATGAAGACCTTAAAGAAACATAATGACCTTAACTGTTCTACTCTGTTAAAATTAAAAATCAGCTAGGACTATTTCAATCACTTTCTACTGACTTTTTAATAGCATGAGCTTTAAGGAAATCAAGGACACTCTGAGCCATTTCTCTATGTAAGAAGGGGACATGTCTTCTAGTGTCTTAGTGGAGGGACTGCTGTCATTGATATCGAAATGACAAAGTCATGATTGGAGCAAACACAAATCTTCGTTTGCATGAGAGTTTTCTATGATTGATGAAAACACCAATCCTCTGCATACAGAATTGTTCACCTCCACCCTGTAAGGTGACTGAGAAACACCCTCCAAAGAGATCCCTGTGGCATTGCAACATTAGTCCTAATACAAAGATTCTCTTGAATGGTCAGTTATTGCTCATCTTCTAATAGAAATGACAGATAAGCAGCTAACAGGCCAAAGCAGCAGACTGGCCAGATGTATTGACAGCTGCAAAAGAGATCCCAAGACTTTTAGTCAATAGCAGCAGCAAAGCAGCAACAGGAAAGAAACTGGGGTAGTTGTCTTCTACATGGTGACTCTTGACAGCAGTTATAAGAAGCAGTTGAAGAGCTTGAGAGAGCAGCCACAGCAAAAACAGGAGAGACAACCGCAGTAGAGGGATGTGGAAAAGAGGTTGAAGGATTAAGAAGCCACAGAAGAGACACGGCAAGTCCTGCTCACTAAAAGAGGTCCAGAAAACTGCAAAGTGTTTAGGGCAAGATGTCTATAGTCCACTCCAGGAGTCCAGGTTCACACATGCTGTACCACTGGCCAGCCACTGGACATGATGGAGAAACTGGGGTTTACTGTTTGGATTAGTTACTTTTCTGTTGCTCCAATAAAACATTGTGACTAAGGCAATATACAGAAGAGTTTATTTGGGGCTTGTGATGTCAGAGGGACAGAGTACATGATGGTGGAGTGGAGGGAGCAGGCAGTAGGTAGCTGGAGCGGCAGCTGAGAGTTCAAGTCCTAAACTGCAAGCAGGAGGTAGAGAGAGCTAAGTGGGAATGCATGGAGCTTTTGAGACCTTAAAGTTGACCCCAGTGACACTTCCTCAACAAGAACTGGGGACCATGTGTCCAGTTGTCTGAGACTTATGAGGGATTTCTCCTTCAAATCACTGTACTAAACAAAGTGCCACCACCGAGCTCTGCATGAGAGCACAAACTGCTGATGCTCTTCCTTCTTGTTCACCACCAGCTGCTGCAAGAAGCTGAGCACCACAAAATAAGCCCAAGAGTAGTCCTTGGAGAACTTTGCATTGTAGACCCATGATTTGTAATCTGACCTAAAGACACCCATCCAGCCAATTGGTGGCAATTTTATTCTTCCTGTTCTTTTTTTTCTCAAAGTCGCCACTTTTTATTTCTCTTTTCAAAGACTCTCTATATCCCTTGTCACCCTCCACTCTCAGCAAAGTGGCCTTTCTGGGAGGAGAGTGGACACAGCTGAAGATGAACCACTGTATTTCCAAACTGTATGTTCTCTTGTGACTAGTAACTAGACTGTCTATGGTTTTGTGAAGCCAACTTACTCATTTTACTCCTACTTATTCCATCTTGATGTAGTTCCAGCAATTTCTCGAACTCTCCTAGTTGGATGTGCTCCTCTAGAAAACACATTGCACATTGACAAACGATGTGCAATGCCTCCTATTGGAACCAACAAGGAAAACATGGCCCTTTGACTCTAATCCCCTCCAGCAACTGCCTCATTTGCTTCTCCCTTCCTTCAGCAACATTTATTGAATTAAGAGTTCCTGTCTTTAATTATTTTATTTTCTCTTTGACATTTTTCATATTTTGACTTGTTGAATTTTTATACACAAATTAAAATATTTTAATTATTTTCTCTCCCATCTCTCCACCTCCTTTGTCCTCTCATAGGTCCCCTTTCTCTTTCTAACTAGTTTGCATTCTGTTTTCAGGACTTCGATGTGTGCAATCTAGTACATTTTATTACAGTTGCTCAGATGGGTGTGGGAAAAGGGTCCTATAAAGAAGCCCACTATCTCATCAGTGGCTGCACCACTAAAGAATTGCTTCTTCTTCTTCAGTAACTGCCTAAGGGAGAGATGGGGCCTCAGGAGCCCCTTCCCCTTTCATGGTAGGACAATGATGGGCCCATTTTGTTATTCTGCTATTTTCTTAGAAATTCATTCTGTATAGCCTATTAAGCCAAAGATAGCACTAAAATTAGAGGGTATCTTAGTTAGGGTTTCCATTGCTGTGAAGAGATACCACAACCAAGATAACTCTTGTAAGAACAACATTTAATTAAAACTGGCTTACAGGCTCAGAGTTTCAGTCATCAAGAGGGAAGTGTGGCAGCGTCCAGGAAGGCATAGTGCAGGAGGAGCTGAGAGTTCTACATGTTCATCTGAAGGCTGCTAGGATAAGTCTAGACAGTTAGAATGAGAGTCTCTCAAAGCCCACTCTCATAGCACTACACCTCCTAAGAGTCTCTGGGCCAAGCATATTCAAAACATCAGAGAGGGTTAGCAACTAAACGCCTTGTTTCACATCTAATAAAAATAATGCATCTTAGACATCAATGCTGATCAAGTCTCCATCTCCATTGTTCCTTGTTAGATTGTGGCAGATGGTCATTCTGTCCTTTTCGTAACACGCTCCTCCCTTGCCTTACAGACAGCATTAACATGTGTTCCCTATGTTGCTTGCTGCTCACTGTAATCTGCTTTGCTGCTTTCTCCTCATCTCCCCAACTCTCAATGACAGAGCACCCCAAACGTCAATCTTCTCACAGCCTTCTCTCTGCCTTCATCCACTCCTCAGGCGGCCCCATCTAGGCTCATCATCCATATGTTGTATATGAGTAGCTTAATATTCCTTCTCCCCCGTCAGATAGGAATCTCCAACTGCTTACTTGACATCACACTTAGGCTAACAGGTATCTCTAATTTCGGTTGAAGCTCTCAGACCCTCAATTCCTCCTAACCCTGGCATTTCAGACCTTCCTTGGTTGTCGGTTCATGGTGACTTTATCCTGTCATTTGGAAAAGCCACCTCAGTCCTCCCGACTCTCACAGCTTCATATCTAGCTCAGCAGTACAATTCATCATCAACCCATTGGTTCTCCTTGTCTACTGCTTCCAAGGAGCTTCATCTCCACTTTTGCCCTGTCTAGTTCACTTTCAGTTGAGAATCAGAAGGGTACTTTTCCACCTGAAGATTCTGATCACTCCATCCTAACCCCTCTTCTGTATCTCCTATCACCCACAGAAGGGGGGGTGGCATGAGGCCCCTCACAGGTCTCTGCAAATCCAGCTCGACTCCTGCTTCCATTCACCCTGAGCTCTGTCCCACATTCCAGCTATGGCTGGCCCTCACCCTTAAGAATTTGATGCACTCCATAGCCTCAGTAATAGTGTCAGGCCTTGGGACCTCCCCTTGAGCTGGATCCCACTTTGGGCCTATCGTTGGACCTTCTACACACTGACACTTTCCTTTTATCCTTCAAAGGCATCTGCAAACTGTTCATTAACGGAAAGGAGAATTGAGGTGGAATGTACACGAACTCTCCGGAAGTGGTCAAATTCAGAGATTTCCCATGGATACATTTCATGCTGAAGTAACCTGTTAATTTGTCTCCCAATATCCAACACAGAAATAGAAAAAAGAGAGCCCAATTTTGGAATGCTTCTATATTCAGGGTGATAGTGACCCACTTTAGAATTAGTAAGCTCAGAAAATGGGGTAATTAATTTTTTTACTTTGGATACATATGTATATAATTGTAGAACACAAACAAATTAAAAAACAAACTCATTGTGAGTCTGTCAAAATACTCCTTCATTCATTCAGTTCATGTGTATAAGTTTTATGGTATGATATATCTTAGAAATGAGAAATTTTGAGATTTTTATTTTTTGTCCCAATATCATGCTGTTTTTATTACTGTAACTCTGTAGTACAATTTAAGGTCAGATACCGTGATACCTCAACATTTCTTTTTTTAAATTCAGGGTAATTTTAGCTATTGTAGTGTGTATGTGTGTGTGTTTCCATATGAAGCTGAAAAGTGTCCTTTCAAGATCTGTAATGAATTGAATTGGACTTTTTATAGGGATCACACTGAATCTATAATTATCTTTTGATAATATGGGTATTTTCACTATATCAACCCTACCAGTCCATGAGCTTGGGAGACCTTTCTACGTTCTAATATCTTCTTTAAGTTTTTTCTTCGATGTCTTAAAGTTTTTATCATACAATTCTTCTACTTGCTTGGTTACAGTTACCCCAAAATATTTTATACTAGCTGATTGTATTGTGAAAGATGTTGTTTCTATCATTTCTTCTTCAGGAAATTCTTTCTTATAGGAAAGCACCTTATTTTCTGATTTAATTTCGTATCCAGCTTTGCTGAAAGTATGTATCAGATGCTGGTAGTAATAGCATGTACAACACAGACTGAATGGTGTCTCTGGGACCTGGTATATCATAAACAGGCACATTATTCCCTATGCAATACATACAACAACCAGTGTCATGGAATAAAATAGAATAGTGGTCAATGGCCTTTTCACTTTAAGTTGGACTTTTCCCCACGAAATCGCTGAGATGTTCAGCTTGTACACACATTCTAAGGAATGTAGTTTACAAACCTTTATGGATTCTACAATTGTAAATTAGAGATTTTCAATCTGCTGTAATTATCAGTGATTAAGTGAAAACAACTGAAGTTTTGAAAAGATAGAAGTTAAATATTCTTCACCTCCTCCACACGTGGCATTGCAATCCCCCCAGCCTGCGTGTGTCCACATGAAGAGGGGTCCCGGCTCCTTAGAGCTCTGATTGTCTGGAAGTGGGTCTGATGGAACAGTATATTCATAGTGAAGACCGTAATTCTGATCTTGAAATAGGAGTACCTGTGGTATACAGAGTGATTACAGAATATGGTTGACATAGAACACAATTAATGAGAAAATCTGCAAAGATATTGATACTTAAAATACTAATTGCATATTGAATGTATATCTTTGACTCACAGCAATTGTATGGTATTACTTTTAAATATTTAAAATGTTATACATTTTTAAAGTCGGGAGAGTCACCTGGGATCTAAATACATCATGACAAAAGCTCACTTGAACAAATCCAGAAATATCTGATCATTTTCTTTTCATTTGGCTGACCATTCCCAAAGTATGATATATATCTATATACCTATACCTATATAGATACCTATATCTATACATGATACATACACATGATGGGTTCAAGGGTGCAGGAATGTGTGTTGCATCCAATGTCAAGATACAAAATCAACCTTGGATTTTTCCACTTTTATAAAAAAATGGAAAAAACATCACTCAATCAATATGGGATGTGCTGTGTCTGTCTAGTTTCATGCCAACTTGACATTGGTTGTCATTTAAGAAGAGGGACCCTCAATTGAGAAAGTGTGCAAGCCTGGTCTGTAGGCAAGGCTGAGATTAATTATGGATGTGGGAGGGCCCAGCCTACTGTGCATGGCAGCACCCTGGCAGGTAGTCCTTGGTTGTATAGAAAAAACTGTAAAGTAGACCAGGAAAAACAAGACACTGAGAAGCACTGCCCTTACTTCAGTTCCCATTTCCAAGTTCCTGCCTTCAGTTCCTGCCCTAACTTATCTCAGAGCTGAAGTGTGCCCTGAGAGCGTAAACAAGCATAAACTGAATTAAAACGGAATCAAACCTTTCCTCTAAATGTTCCCTTGTGTTATAATGTTTTACAACTGCTGTGGAGACCTTAGCTAAGACACTGGGTGAGGCTGCAGATTGGAGATCACTATGAGTAATGGTCGTGAACTTCTGAATCACTAGAAGGGTGATACTTTGTTCTCTGGTTGTTTATACTATCTTAGAACTTTGGCAATGTGTATGTTTAAATGGATTTTAAATAAACATTAGATTAGTAACAGAACTGTTATACACAGAGTTTAGTAAACTATAATAGCTCAATGTGTATGAGTTTGAATCTACATTGTGCTGAGCCACAATTAGAGGTTATAGCATTTTGGCTTTCAATGGTATCCAAAGTCAAGGTTAGAAGGGATCATCATGGATATTATACAGAAATTTTGTGCACACACATATACACATACATGTGTATACATATACATATATGTGTGTGCATATATTTTAAACAAAAGAATAAATGAACATATATGCTTTTCAGAAATTTGTTTTCATAACATATGTTAAATTTAACCATATGGAATATGTCATGTCTATAGATCCAACAATCTGTGTGAACAGTTGGTCCATAAAACATTTCTATATATATTTTTTAACTTATGTGTGTGGAGAGGCATATTGACAGTTTAACCTTTGTCTACATTGGTTGTAATTATAAGTGATTCAGGGTTAATACAACTTGCAAAAACATTTAAATGAACCCAAGCTTAGCACATCAACTGAACTTTCTCTTTTTGCAATCAGGATTTGCTCACCATATTAAAAGGAGTACTACAGTATATTTGATTGATGTGTGGATTATAGAGCTGGTGTGTTGACTTTATGAACATTAGCTGAATAAAATAATTATTAGTTGTTAAGCCACAAATGTGAAGCCTCCTGGGTACCAGATCAGAGTATATCACAATACTGATTTTGGTTTAAATATTTGATGAAATGTTGCTGATTATAAGTTACATTCAACCTAATAAAGAGTGAATGTTTATATTTTTATTGTTATGACAGTACCATCGTGTACTTTTAAATTTGATGAAATGACCATATTGACACACTTATTTTCTACCCGACCCTACTTAATTAAATGAAAGCAATCCTTTTCTTTTCTTCGTAAGCTACCTTTCCATTGCTATATCTTCAATCTGCATTGAACATCTAATGCCGTTTGAAACTGAGTGACTGGCCACAAACCCATGAGCTCTTTCATAAACCATCTGACTTTGGCAGAACTCTTTGCAAAAGGAAAGTGTGAGCATGTTACAGTCAGAAGCTCACACTGAGGCATGGCAGCAGCACACACTGCCTTTCAAGTCAGTACCAGGTTTCAATCTGCAATAGTCATTAAAGAGAAATATCACAGAGGTACAGTTTCCTTTGGATTACCAAATAAATCCAGGTCACACACATAGCTCCTTTTAGATCCAGTTCACTGAGTCAATTACAATGCCTGATTCCAGGAAAAGCTTTGGCAATTGCGAGTCTGATTAAGGGCTCTGCTGCAAGAAAAGTCTCTTACTCTGAGTGTGTATATATATATATATATATATATATATATATATATATATATATATATATATTGTTTACAGATATTAAGCAAAGGCTCCGGACAAGTCTCAGTCTTGTATTTTTCTTAAATAGATTAAAACCATATATGGTTATAGAATGCAGCCAAATATGGTAGTGTTTTCAGCTATTAAATCATAAAAATGTTTCCTATTGATATTATTTTATGTGAATCAGTCAAAGATGATGCTAACTGTAGTTCTCCCATTATATAGATATTTTTGTCCATTTCTCTAGACAGCATAGGGCAGAGAAGAGCTCTTAATTGAAATTATAAAATTGAAATAGGATGCAAAGGAACTGTGAGGAGATGCATAAAGTGATTATTCCAAGAGCATAATATTGATGAACCAAGACTTAAGCAGAACAGACAGACAGGTACTATTTATACTGGACAGGCAGAACACACACTGCTTACTTTGCCTTTTTATTCCAGTTGAAGCAAATAGACTATAGCTATATAAGGTCTGGAAATTCAAATGGTGGTTACTGGATCAGCAGCAGTGATATCAGGTAGGAGCTGTGGAAAATATATGGATCTCAGTTTCCGATGAAAAACAACTGAATCAGAAGGAATGTTTAAAAGGGACCCCAAATAATAGGTCCATCAAAATAAGATCAGCAGTGAGCTACTGTGCAATTTGAACCTCTGGATCCTAGAAGAGGCAACAGAGATGTCCATAGCTGAAGACTAATTCAACTGCAGTGAAGAGGCTAAATAGTGTGACACATGCCACTACAAACAAGTGAATTCATTGTATTAGAGTGGTTTTCTGTGCATGGGAATATAGAGAGGGGCTGAAGTATTTGAATTTTAGATTTATTTTGCCACTAGGACAAAAACTTGCTCTATCTGTACCTTCATGCTTTTGGGTAGTTTGCCATCAGCTCTGAATACCTTGATCAAGACCTATGAAGAAAACAACCCAGTGGTACAGAAATAATCCTACTCTTCTAGTCCTTTCCCTTTCAAGTCTCTCTTGATGCACATTTAGTCTTTTGCTTCATGATGAAGAACATTACAATGACCAACAGCTCAGTGCTCATGGTGACTTGCAGTAATCCATTAACATAGTGAGACACACAGTGGGAGACTGAGAGCTGTCTTAAGTTGTGTTTACCAACTCTCTCTTCTCAAAATAATACTTTATCAAAGGGACACTCTACAGACACAGATGAGTTCCATTAAATAGATGATAATTGCTGTCATTTCCATACTATTGCCAACTTGATGAATATCCAGAAAACCAGAAGGTTTACAAGGAGGAAAAGGGGTTTTCCTTATTCTTCCGTGATCTGTTTCCACTATTAGCTTGCTAATTCCCTAGAACATTTTGGTCCACTTTTAATAATTACTATTTTTAGATATCACAATTTAAAATATTATAAAGTTCCTACAAATATTTCATCTCTTAAAACAATTTTAAATGCTGTTCTGATAATTCTGATACTTAAAAAACAGATGGAGAAGGGGAGAGAGGGAAAGAGAGCAAAGAAGGGAAGGAGGGAGTTAGAGAGGAAGGGGGAAAAGGGAGAGGGAGAGGGAGAGGGAGAAGGAGAGGGAACAGGAGAAGGAGAGGGATTTTCCTTGCCATGAGAAGCTGGTTTTACAACACTGTCCCATTTCTGCCTCTTACCAGGAGATGTAAAGGTGTGGTTGTGGGGCCTTTGGCAGAGATCTTCTCCCACAGGCCTCGTCTTATGTAATGGACTGTAGTTCCAGCCAGACTGAATGCTCCAGAATGTTCTATCTTCCAGTCACTGTTTATAGACTGCTTGCTGGCATCTCGGAGGGCTATAAAAAGATGAAATACACGATGAGTCCGGACAGAGCAACTGATGAGTAACGTCTTGACATTATTCTCTTAAAAGCGTTTCAATGTGTCTTCAAACTCCGATGCAAGTCTTAAGCCGCCAGCCTTGTTGCTACTGAAGTCAAAAGAGTTTTCAATGTCTGTTAGATGCTTATGTCTCCTTTAACATCAACCACTTGCTAAGGTTTTGCTATTCCATCAGCATTGCTCTGCTGTGTGTATTACCTGCCATTAATACAAGCAACAAGCTTATGAAAGTATTGGAATTTACTGTGTCAATCTTCTCTGAAAAAATATCCTTATCATATGTTAAAAGAATGTCTAAAGTGAAGTTAAAGAAGCATACATATCTTTAATTTTATGAGATCAATGTTAAATTATTATTTATTTTTACTGAAAGAGAAATATATTGATCAAATAACATCTCAAAATATTGCCAATGTCTGTTAGCACCAACAAATGGACATATCTTAGACAATATTAAAGCTTTAGAAAAAAGCAAACAACTAATGGATTGGTTTATACAGTTTAGCATCTGCTTATACTTCATTTTTGCAAGTTAAATATTTTAAGAAATATATTGATCAGCATTTTCCAATTTCTAAGCTTGTATTTAAGGTTACAATGATCAATTTATAGTTCCTGGAAATCTCAATAAAATGTCTTTAAACTTCCTTTGGGGTTTATGGAATATGATATTCAGACTCTATTCATGTTTTGGCTTTCAGCATTTCCTAGAAAATGGCATACACATATACATACACATCCACACAATTTATTGGGTTACAAATTACTTCATTCAGAAATAGAGGTCTGTACATATCATGTTTCTTGGTTTTTTTTCGGGGGGTTGGTGTTTTTGTTGCTTGTTTTACTTCATTAACCTAAAAAATTTTTTTGGCAATCTTGCTTCTGTTGATCAGTGGGACCGTTCTGCTTCACACTAGAAAATGGACGGAGAATGTTTTTAAACTCTTGATGAGGGTGGAGAACAAACCTGGTATAATCTCTATGATTGTTTGGCTGTCTTCCTGGAGATATTTACCAGAGCCCGCACTGAGAGGTTGACCTTATACAGGGCACAGACTGGGAAGGCTTTACAGAGGCAGAAGGAGGCACCGGGAATGAAGGAGGTCATGCTGGCTGTGGTAGCAAGCATCATCTGTTTTATGGAGCACTTGAGAAGCATGAGCTACAAGAAAAAGATCCCACAGCATTCACAGGACACCTTTGACCTTACAGCAATATTCAGCTTCAAACAAATAGAGTGTGCCTCCCCAAAGCTGGGAAATGAACAGCTGCCAAGAACCTTAGGACTTTAAACTTTCTATTTTTTCAGGTCGAGTAGTTATAAAGAAAAAAATTTCTAGGTAATTTCAAGGTGTGTAGCGTTTGAAGATAGAGACCCTAAAAATCAGGTGGCCAAATTAAAAGCCAAAAAAACCCAGACTTCATATTAAACTTCATATTAAATAAGGAAAATATAACACAACTACTCATCCGTACTATGTTAATCATGTTCACCATCCAATTAAAAACCCACTGGGGATGTGGCCACCACACAATTAACCTACAATAATTAAGTAGGGGTACTCAGGAATAAAATAACATTCAAGAATCCTAGAGATAGTGGAACAAATGAATTAAGCCTTTAAATATGCACACACATTCTAGAAAGGTTTGTAATGTTAGAGAACAATGGGAACTGGAAAATAATTAAATCAAATGCCTTAGAACAAAAAGATTCACATACTAAGTACTGAACTTAATAAATGGGCCTAAAACATACTAGGCAAAGACACTTTCATAGGAAAGAACTAACTTCAGAGAACAGAGCCACGATGAACAGAAGCAGAGCAAGGCAGACATGCAGGAATAATGTTATGGATCACACTGATGTGACTGGAATTCCAGAAAATGGAACAAGGACATACAAAGTATTTGAAAACACGGTATTTATAGGTATTTTACATTTTCTTAAAAAAAAAACCTCCAAATACATAGGACTTAAAAGGTACAAGGAACTTATGAAGAAAACAATGCATATACACACACACACAGAGGGGGGGGAGGGAGGGAGGAAGGGAGGGAGGGAGGGAGGGAGGGAGAAGGAGAGGGAGAGGGAGAGGGAGAGGGAGAGAGATAACATAGGTGATTGGGAGAACATAGTTTTGAGTGGTCAGAAAGGGAAAAAAATCTGTTACTAATGGGCATTTTAAAAAATACATAAAGTATAGTTCTCATGTCTCAACAATGAAGGTTCTTTTGCAATACAAGCAGAAGATTACAGAAATCCCAAATGTTGAAAATACAGAGAACAGCTGGATGTTGGGTGCCTAACAGAAATGGATGCGTCTACGACATAACATGAAAGCATAAAGTTCAGGAAACATCATGGAAGAAGGATGGGAAAGATTGTAAGAACCAAAGGAAAAGGATGTCTGACTTTTGAGTGACTGTGTTTTCTACACATGACAAGAAGTTGTAGCCATGAACTCTCAACAATATAGATTTCTAAATAAGACTGTCACAATGACAACACCAATTGAAAGACTCTGAGATTCCATCTCTAGATGAAGAGCTACAGGTAAATAATGACTGCTGAGAGTGGAAGAATCAGTCTTCCCAGTGATGAGCCCCCATAGGCTATCCAACCCTAAATATAAGACTCAGTAAGCTGAACACACACATACAAACATATGTAACAATTATTAAGGAAGAGGAAGCACTGAATTTGAGAGGGCTCGGAGACAAGAAAGGAGTTTCAGGAAAGAGACAAGGTATAAATACAATGTCCATATATGAAAATTTTAAAACATTAAATTAAAAATGTAACAAGTCATTAAATGTCCATGTATCATTAGCAATAATGCAAATCAAAGGAACCCAGTCAATTCCCTAGGGCTAGAGAACTCAGGGATATTGGAGGGGAACATAAAAGTAGCACTTTATTAAACTAGAACAATGCCTAACTACGTTCTACATATGTGTCCTTGTACATGAGAATAATTGCAGCTCTTGCCCCTCATCAAAGCAACTTCTCTTTGCAACAGATGGAGACCATTACAGGAAGCCACAATCCATCAAAATGCAGAGCTGAGAAGTCCAGTTCCAACTGATAGGTCTACAACACAAACTCTCCACTCAAGGCTCAGGGATCATGGAGGAAGAGGGGGCAGAAAGATTGTAAGAGCCAGAGAAACAGCATATTTCTTGTGAGATTTGGTATCTAAGGAATGTCAAAAGCTACATCCATAAAGCTGCACCAACACAACTGTCTGAACATGAACTGAGCAAGAATGACACTAGTAGGCAAAACAATATATACGGGAGTAACCCATAAGGACTCAACCCTACACAAAAAACTAGAGGCAACTATCAAATTTCTCAGAATGGGAGAAATAGCCTTATCCAAGGAAGACCACACCAATTGCTTATCCAATACCAAGTAGTCAAGCACTAAAAACATACATACAAGTAACATTATATAAACTGAGATTATGTTTATGAATATATACATATATAGATATAGATTATATACATCATATACATGTACATAATATGTATATATAAATGTACATACATATATGTATATAATAACAGCTAATGAAAAGAGAATCCATGAGTTTGAAAGAAAAGGAGTGGTTAATGAAAGGGTATGGGTGGAGGAAAGGGAAAGGGAATAAATAATGTAATTATAGTATAATCACATACAAAAAAATTTTGGAAAATGTTAGATACATGAAAAACAGTTATGCTTTCAATGATTAAAAAATTAACACAAACAAAAACTCAAGCTCTATATCTAGTAAAAGTATTTTTAGACGCAAAGCTAAAACAAGTTTTCAGGCAAAACCTTAGGAAATTTGTGGTTTGCAACAGACTTACTCTCAAAAAAAAAGAGAAGGAAGAGGAGGAGTAGAAGAAGAAGAGGAGGAGGAAGAAGAAGAAGAACAGGAGGAAGAGGAGGAGGAGAAGAAAGAGGAAGGAGAAGGGGAAGGAGAAGAAGGAGAAGGAAGGAGGAGAAGAAGAGAAGGAGGAGGAGGAAGAGGAGGAGGGAGAGGAGGAGGAGGAGGAGGAGGAGGAGGAGGAGGAGGAGGAGAAGGAGGAAAAAGAAGAAGTGATGTTCTTCACTCTGACAGAAAATGGTACCAGGTGGGAGCACCGTGAGAAAGAGGAAAGTACATGTGAATAGCTGTATAAATGCATAAAATACTCCTTCTAATGAAATTCATTTAGGAAGAGATTGATGATTTCAAGCAAGTGATTGCAATGTATTAAAGTGATTCAAGCACATTAGGAAGTAGATGAAGGCCATGGATGTGGACACAAAGCACACAACAGAAAAAGATCAGGCAACAGCGAAGTGCTCCACTTGAGTCTCACATGATTCATAAGAGGGTAAAATAAAATTCGTAAGGATACTACAACAAATTAAAATTTATATTGTAAATGCTAGATCAATCAGCAAATACAAACAATAGCTATACCTAATATGCAAATCAATGAGACAAAATAAAATAATAGAACGTACCTTGCTCAACACTAGCCAGGTAATGATGTAGAGATGAATCAATAGGAAAAAAAGTTCAATATGTCTATTATTATAGACATATAATTTGAAGAGACAACGGGACATTGATTAAACTGTGGAAGCTTTCAGGCTACAAAAATAGATGCTGAAATCAGAAATGAAAAGGGAGACATAACAACAGAAACTGAGGAAAACTAAAAAATCATCAGATCCTACTACAAAAGGCTATACTCAACAAATTTGGAAAATCTAGATGAAATAGATGATTTTCTAGTCAGATGCCACATATCAAAGTTAAATCAAGAGCAAGTAAACTATCTAATCAGGCTCATATTCCTTAAGGGAAAAGAAGTCATTAAATACCTCCCAACCAAAAAAGTAGGACAAGATACCTATAGTGCAGAATTCTAACAGACCTTCAAAGAAGTGCTAATATCAACATTCCTC